ATAAACACATCGATTTTGGTTAGAAGGGGAGCATATTTTACTTTAAAGTGTACACCCTGGCTGTCAACCCCCTAATCAGGGTTGCACCCCTTCAATAATTTAAATTGAACGTGGGGTCGAGTGACACATCATTGGAAATGGCTCTTAATTTCCTACATGCCTGTGGTTAATTTTAACAAAGTCCACTCCTCAACAAATTCTGTTTTTTTGCGAGACAACTACGATTAACACGATTTCGCACGCAAAATTTCTTTCTAATGATACAAGATGAAATTCATAACCATGATGAATAGTGAAATGGAAGCTAAAGGAATCAGAGGGAATCAGGGGGAGTAGAAGGACGCCAATGTAATCATAGTGGAAACTACTGTCTTAGATGCTGACTAGTATGATGGTGCCAAGTACCACTCATTTAGAACCATTGTATATACAATGTTAGAACGTACTTGCAATTTCAGGCGTGGTTCAGAAACTCAGGAAGGAAGGAAGCCTTCAGAAGTTGCCTTTTGCCAAATGAGATGGGTATAGCTAAATAAATAAATAAATGATACAACAAATATTTTTGGTTTACGAGATATAAGCGAAAAACGACAGAAGTCTGAAAATCATGGAGATGTTGGTCCCCCTCCGACTTAGCACACAGTCCTCGAGGTCGAAGACATCCTGGTGTACCCTCAAACAACATCTAAACATTCCACTGATTAAAGGAAAAAAAGCCGTGAGACGTCAAAAGATTTGTCAAGGGGGACAACTTTTTAACCAAAAACTACTTCACTCCTATTTACCCTCTACCCCCCAGGGTCATTCCCTAAGAATTTTAAATGACAAGTGGTCTCGAACAATAGCTTGTTTGAAAGGTCTTTCGAAGTCTTTTATTTTGACGTTTGATTTTTTAAATCGTTCAATTCGTTTTAGAGAAAATTAGAAAAATCTTTACGTAGTTTTTTTATTTGTAACATATCCAGTTTGAGTAAATTTAGTTACAAGGTCCAAAACCTGCGCGAAGTTATCTTTCCCGGATGTCTGGCGATAAACGTGACGGCAGTTTTCCGAGCACATTGATTTTGGGCACCATGAATTACAATTTTTCCACTCTTTTGGCTAGTGTGTAAACCATTTTTGAAATAAAATCTGAATCAATAAATTAACTTTCACTATCCCAAGATTGTCACAAAGGTAACTGAGCAAATTAAATTCTTTCTTTTCCATATAGCGACAAATAACTGATATTTTCGTTTATTTTTGTTTTCTATCTAAACAAACTAAAATACATAGGTCGATTAAATAAATTAAAGATTTTCTCGAAAACGAATCGACCGATTTTAATAAATCAAACGTCAAAACAAGGAACTCCGAAAAACCTTTCAAACAAGTAGATATTTATAATAAACTACATTTACACCAGAAATATTTAATCTAGTACTCGATATTCGTTTTCCGTGCATTTTAATGAGCGTCCCATTCCGCCTGTGTGAAAACCTATTTCAATTCTTTAGGGAATTTCCATGATTTTGCTAATTGGATTTATGGTCGAATTTTTGATAAAATACTGACAAATACGCCTGAAAATAAACTAATTCGTATATCATTAGATGAGAAAAAAAATCTTCTTTTGATTCGTGTCATTATAAACCCTCTAAGTTAACATGGGGAGCAACGATCTGCAAAAAACGTTTTTCCCACATTAATTGCCTATGTTCGGTTTTAAAATATTTACCCGGTGTACGTAGGGTTTTAGTCTACTGTAAACACAATAAATTTTTTCACAATAGAAGTTTCGAATGAGGTCCCGGGACCGCGAAAATGCTTTATTATTTTCACGCTAAAGTTCAAATTTTGTGGGTAGTTAGTCTTCGTGGTGATCTGGAATCCTGTTGCTTTTTTGAAAATCAAGTTTTCGCAATTTTTACGAAATTTTCCGAGCAAATGTCACCACATCGCATGGCATAATTTTGTAGCTATCGAGTTCAGATTTCACAGTAATTGTGTATTATTAATCTTTGCAACCTTATCGTTTTTGATAAGACTCGAAAGACACGTTTCAAAGTTTTCACGATTTTCCGGGTTTTTTTCGTGAAAATGTTGTCACTTCATTACAGGGCGCACTTTCGAAGTTATAAAGCTCAGAATTTCATGGAATCGTTGATGTTTGGGTTCTATTGTTGGGCAATGTGACAGAAAATTAAAACATATACAGGGTGTTTTTGGAAAAATTTAATTTATTATGAGGAAAAATGTCACCTTAACGATGTCAAATGTTAATTCTTTCTTTCTTAATATGACCTTCGGTTCTGAAGATGTCTGTAATAAAACAGACCTGTAATGAAAGAGGTCCGCTTTCAGTTTTTTTTTATAAAGTTATTTGTTGTGGCAGTGCACCAGAGGAAATAAAATTAATGGGGGGGGTGGGGGGGGGGGGGGGGGTTAAAAAATTAAGAATTTAATTTCTTTAAATGAATGTATTTATTTCAGTAATGTGCTTAGAAACCTGCTCCTTTATAAAATTTTCTAATGAATTTTCTGTCGGAATATGTCTCTTTGGAGGGTTCCCTGTAACGCCTATCCTTCCTTTGTAAAAATTCTGCCACCGCAGGTCGTGGATCAAACTTACATGTAGCTGTCCCATTTAATGGTATTAAAAGTTTGTAGGTAATTTAACGTTTCTTCTAATAAGCTCGATCGCTTGTCTGTTTAAAGCGTGATAGCCGACAAAATCCTCGAAAAAATAAGTTGGTTGTAGGTAGGTAAGTACCTAGAAGTAGTAAAATAAAATAGATAAACACTGCGGTTTTTAAAGTTGTTATTGTCGTCAATGACTACATAGGTACTTGGTACCTATTTGTTATTTTAGGCTAAACGCGGTTGATTTCTGATTAAATACTGAATACCTACTACTACAGAGAAAAGTATTGCGCTACATATACATGCCCAACTCTGCATTAAAAAAATTAAAAACTACATGGGTAAATGAGCGCACTACTGGGGCAATTGCCCCGGTAGTTTACATGTTAAAAATCCTCTGCAGTGCACTTATTGAGCAGGTCTAATACATTATTAGCCCAATTCCAACGAAGTTGGTTGTACTATTGCAGCCACTTTCTCTGCCCGTCCGTCCGTCTGCCGTCTTTTCAATATATTTAATTCGTTCTTTTTGAATTCGGTAGCTTATATCTCTGGCACCTGAGCCAAGAAAAACGCAGACTGTGCAATCTCAAATTCCTTATTTATTTCTTATATTTTGTAAATATCATATTAATGTGCGCATTCGATGCGTAATAACATTGTATATACAATGGTAATATTAACTGTCTACAAAATATTTATTAATGCTTTTTAAGACATATTCTGTCTATATTGCAACGTAAATTTAATTACGTGGTTTTATTTATTACAACTAATTAACAATACATTTATGACAGTCTTGAAATTGATTAATTTATAATAGTAAAAGTATTGTCACTCACGAATAATGGCGCGAACCATTTATTACTTATAGGCGTTCTCATTGCAACTAAACTGTAACGTAATCCGATTTGCTTATATAGTCAAGTCGAAGGTTCCCGAGCGGTCGCGAACATTCTAGAATAAAATACGTCATATTTCTCGAAAAGATTACGTCACATCCGCTCTCATATTTTATCGCCGATGACAAATCTTTCATGGCGCCTCAATTTCTATGGAAATTTCCGGAACGTTGGCTGCAGTATAGTAATTTAAAATGGTAAAACTTTATAATTTAGCGATAAAAAACTTCATCTGGATTCTAGAGGAATGTTGGGGGACACTTACTGTAACATCAAAAATGCGACTTGTGAGTTCATCGTTTCCCATAGTATAGAATAGGTACCAGATATTAAATCCCTTGTTTATTTAGTCTTGTTCCTTAGTACAAAGGTTTGCTTATAAATAGAGATATGGTATATGGGGTGTGCGATCAATTGTAGTTATTCAGAAAATTGTGTATATACAGGGTCTCCCGGAAACGTATTTACAACAGCCAACCACGTGTTTCTTAAACCGAAATTAGTCGATTTAAGTAAACCTTCGTTTAAAGTTGCCGAGTTTGGGCTATATAAGGCCCTGCAATTTTTTGTGTATTGAAGTTAAAACAGTCTATACGACTTTGCCAAAATGTATACTGTTGACATAACTTTATGCGACAAAAAACTTCCAAAATTATTATTGATATCAAACCATGGGCGTAGATCTTGATTTTATTCATTAATTGCACGTTTCCAATTTCTTCGGCACTAATAACGCACCCCCAAAATCGTGCGATTTCACCAAAGAGTAACTAATATTAATGTATTACCTATTTGAAGGGTTAACCCTTTCTTTTGGGGTTATTTCAAATAATTGGTTTACGTCAATACACCCCGAAATATCCACGAATTCGAATTAAGAATAAAAGTTCCTTTTTTGAAATATTAAAACCGACGATTTTTGAATCACCCATTATTAATTATTAACCATTATAACTGCCAACTTGCTTGTTGTTGTTACTTGTATGATTTAGTTGAATGAGAAGGTGTATGCATCGGTAATTTTCCAAATGACCATAAAAGAAAATCGCGGTATTTCATACAAGTGAGGGTCGATTGGGTTTGCAATTTGACCAAGTAGCAAGGTGGAAGGTCGACATCTCTGCGAATTTATTCATCGCAAGATTCTTGCACAACTACAACCTTAAGTAAAACAATAATGCTGGTTCGTAAACAATAAACACAAATGCATATCTTATTTTTCAGTAGGTAACCTTGCTTTAATGCTTCATCGGTAACTGACCTACCTTCAAACCTTGATCTTTCCATACCTTCATGCAGTGGAATTCTACACGAACCAGAAGAAAAGATTGTAATGAGATGTGGAATGTTTACGTAGGTCAACCGATCCAGCTACCATCATTTAATCTACCCTTATTATCATCTTAACATCTTATTCGCACTACTACACCCCGAAACGAAACTATGCATCCGCAAAATATAATGTTTCTGACCTACCTTACACATTGTTGGCACCAAAGCTTCATCAGTAAAAGAGACGACCTTTTCCACCTCCAAAATATTACGAGTTCGCATCGTTGAAGCAAGGTTTCCTAGTTCCAATCGTTCTCTGAGTCAAGATTTTTTCGAGGACTGCTTAACCAGCGACGCAACTTGAACGAGTTGGGTCTGTGTGCAAAATAACATTTTTCGGTTATTGTAGTTAAAATGACGAATGTCCAAGCTCATACCTCTTGCAAGATATGAAATCACAGCGAGGATCTCATTAATTTTTTTGAATTGATAGGAATATAAACTGTTGAAAGTTCAAAACTTCAAACCAAAATGTCGAGTCATAATACAAATGTCAAAATCTATAGTAGAACGTGGAGCTATAAATTGAAGCTTTGACGTTTATACTTTGGATTCCGATTGCTGTCTCTTATTTCTCATAAGCCCTTAAAGTTGTTGGTCTGCAAATTACATATTCCAATGTACTCGTTTTTTTGGCAAATAACCTGCACGTTAAGTTTGACGTTTCTGATACATCACAGGACTGATTGATAATTGAAATATGAAAATGCGCATACCAGCATTGTTATTCATGATCTATCGCAAGAAAATATATATTATCGTTTCAATTCCGATTTTACCGGCAAACGATAAACGTGAATTGGGCCGCATTTTTGGTGGCATTTTAATAGGTTTGAATGAGTAGGCTAACTTATTTCAAATGTCACGCGAAGTACGATATAAAATGATCGAAAACGAATGGACTGATTTCGATGAAATGTTGCAGGTGGATTTTTTATAAAATTTGTAGGTTGGAGTTCGTGAATTGGAAATGTAGGCTAAAAAATAAGGAAGGCCCTTTTGACATCTCCGTTATTATTAACCGAATTGCATTGCATTCAGAATGAGCATAGCTTTAGCCATATAATACGCAATGCCAAGCTATACCCACCAGGAGCTCGTTTGCTATATTTATTATTATATATTTATTGTTATTTATTTCCGTTGTACCATTGAACATGCGACAATCTATCAAAAAATTACTTTTCTGGTCAGTTTTACAGACTAGCTGCTTTGTTGTGAATAGGTATAGGTATTTACGGTTTTACGAGGGTAGTGCCAAAAATTCGGCTTAACATAGATCCATAAGTATAGGGTAAGTCGAAATTGCAGTCGGATCTCGGCTTCTGCTGTTAAGTACTGCGGGCGTTATTATTACGAAAGAACAATTAAAATGATTTTTTTTAGATTTCAAATAATGTGCACCTTGTTAGTAAAAGATCCCGACATAGACAACCTGTTACAAATAACCCAAACATTTTTTTTTAGTAATTGGTCAATAGACAGTTGAATAGGAATTTAACACACTAAACTATTCAACTGTCTACTTTCTGACCCCGTTTTGAGCTTTACCACCATGGATTCCCACCAAGAAATTGGTCAATAGTTGGTCTTTGATGTAGGCAAAGAGTAATATTGTGCATTGTTTGATGTAGTTGGAGCACAGATTTAAAGATTGTTTAAATCTGTGGTTGTAGGTAATGGGTATCCTATCCGCAATGCCGCATTGTCTGAATGGCTGCCTACATACGTATTCTTTTCCATCGATTGCATGATGCTATGTAGAATACAGGATGCCCATTATGTGTGGAATATAGTATACATCTCGGTAAATATCGACTGTATACAAAATTTGTCTACATTCCCTTAATAAGGCAGCATTCAATTGTTCTTATCTTAAAAAACGAAAAACAATTGAGTATTTTTAAATGGCAGTGCACCTTTTCATTAGGCTCATTTGATAGAGATTTTTTTTCTCTTTTTATTTTTATTTTTTTTATTTTTTATTTTTATTTTTGCCTTCATTTTTGAGTGGGCGAGGTTTCAGCCAAGGCTGCTTTACCAGCCCAACCCACTATACATTTACAAATATCCATGCCCGAACCCGGATTCCAACCAGGGACCACAGTCCAGATTTAATTGAACTGCGTCACACGGGCCGGCAACACCATTGTCGATGACGTAATATGTTAGAACCCTTTTACAAGAAATTTTTCAAAAAAAAATTACTATACACAGTCATTTGTTTTATTTTCATGTAGGATATCTAGATTAAGGGTTATTGACGTAATTATAATAATTTTTTTTTAATGTTCTAGTATTAGGGTACTAACATCGAAAAGAGAAAAAAATCTCTATCAAATTAGCCTAATGAAAAGGTGCACAGCGAGTTCAATTGTTTTTCGTTACCTACTCATTTGTTTTTTTAAATAAAAACAACTGAATGTCGTAGTCATTTAGTGAAATCCGTTATTTCACGAAAAGCCTAGTTCGATGCCTAATAATTTAGTGAAACGCTGACAATTTGACGTGTGGGGTAGTTCCCCTCCCCTTCTAGAACGATTAGGGATACCATTTATCAATCTCGAAGGGGAAGGGAATCCAATCGCTTGGCCCTAGAAAGTACACTGTGCCACAGTTTCATACCAAATTCAACAGTTTTCATCTAGTCTTCTTAAAGTTTTGTTCAAAATCGTCTAAATTTTTTCTCCAAGGTCTCCTAAACTGATTCCTAAGTCCCTCTAACATTCTCCTGTTATGCTTTTCAAGTTCTTGTTAATTTACTTTCCTCAAATTATATTCCAGTTTTCAACTAATTTTCCTCTCAGGCCGATTACCGAAGTTATCCTTAAACTCCCTAGCTCCAATGAGCTCTTTTCATTCATTTTATGTTTCCTTCTAGTTTTTTCAATGTTCCTGCCAGCTTCTCCCACATTCCTCTGCGCGTTATCTTTTACTGATTCCCAAGCTCCCAAGCTCACCTCAAATTCCTTTGTAAGTTTTCCCCTCATGTTTCCTTCAAATTTTCTTTAGTTTTGATCAAATTCTCCACCAGTTCCGTTCTCAAACGCCCTCACGTTGTTCTCAAGTTCTTCACTATGAACATTTGAGGTCCATAAAGTTAGCAACGAACATTTCCAGGAATTCCACGTCATGCCCTGTATGCGTATAACCAAAACGATTAGCAACAACAGTTAGCAACAAACGATGGACCGAAAAAATTACCTTTACCATCTGTTGATTTGTTGTAATTGAATGTACAAAATCTTAATTGTTAACTAATGCCCCATGCGCTTGTGGGGATGCCTCCATGTCTCAGGTTTATGTGTAAAACTTTGACTTCCGTAAAGTAGGGAGGGATTGCCATGATTTGTGTACCTACTTAGGGTAGGGTGACTCGTAACACTCATGAATGTGTGTGTCTTGTTATATGGCACTAATACCTTCCAATCGGATGCTAGAATCGAAATGTATTCTAGAGCTAACGCACAAAAGGATTTGGGGCCCTTGAAGTTTGGCGTCTAAGCAGCCGCAACCCAGGTCCGGCGTATCCATGGGCGGCACCCCATTTTTAATATACTTTAGTTTAGTCTATACCTACACATGTGGCCAATTCAGGGGAGTATTACGAGGCACCAGTAGTCGTTACGGATATCTGAGCTTTATACCAGCTTTATACCAATGTCATTATGTGGAAATTGGGCTTAATTGGGGGCTCCGCAAGCATAGGGGATCCTACTTTAAACGATCCGATCATGTGCCATTCCTGTTTTTAAATTTAAGCGGGAACTGTGTTTTGATTCTGGGATTTCAACGTTCCACTTTAAATTTGTCATGTTGGCTTCGAACCTGCGGGTGGGATAAGATCAGTACAATTTTTTTATTTGTTTCCAGGTGAAAACGCACGTATCCAGGAAAAAATTGATAACTTTTTTAATATATTGATCGATATCGATACAAATCCAATACCTATAGCAGACGAAATGGGATATCCGAAACAGTGCTTTAATTGCATGTGTGCAGGTTATTTTTTCGATGCCAGCCTTGTCCTGTTGTGGTTTTTGGGTTTGGATATTCATAGCAGTAACCTAGATTGCAAACGTTTCAGTAATGTAAGGTGCTTACCAGCAGCATTAAATTTCCTCACATCACAATCTCCACCCCAATCAAGTAAAAGAAATCTGACGAATGGTGGTGGTGTTGAAATGACTTTTCAAAAAGTGAAACCAGCTCGATGTAATGAACCACGATTTCAAAAACGGAAACAAAAATAGAGCAACAAATAAATATTTTTCACTTTCGTAAACAATGTTATTTATAAAAAATAATTAATTAATTGCGCTATTAACTAAGACTAATTATATACAGAGATAGGTAGTAACAATTTTCCTCAAGCCTTATCTCGTACGAGTACGAGAATTGGGTAAGTAACTAAACGAAAATCGTAGATCGGTTTTAAAGTAGGTACGCACCAGCATTGCATACGTTCACGCGGTCGGTCACTTTTGCACTTATTACGTTATCTTTGGAAAAAGTAGAGAAGCCAACGACTCAATGATTGGCATTTATGCATGCGCTATCAATGAATGCCCGATGTCTCAGCTCCGCGTTACTCTCGGACGTATAGCTTCTAGCGATCCCTTTAACGTTTTGGGATGTTTCGTACAGAGGTGTTTGGGATGTAAAACATATTCCATTCGATTTGTTGCCAACGGCACCATTGACCTAAAATGTTTAGGTCTCAAATGAGCAATTTAAATTAACTGACTTGTACCTGCACGATCTTCTTCGCCGTTTTCTTCATGTACGTTTGCTTGTAAAAATCTGAAAATAAAAAGTAGAACATGACTGCATGAAGACCAATCCACCACACGAATGCTTTGGGGTAGTCGCAATCGATGAACAACAGTTGAAACGCGTGGAGCATTACCAAGACAAACTGAACCTGTTTCCAACAAACATTAACGTCATTTCAAAATCTGGAGTAGTTACCATTTGAAGTGCGGTTAAATATTTCTTCCACCATAAGTACTTTTGCATTCGCGGACCCATTGCTGCAAGCAGGTAGTATGTGTACATAACAATATGGACGAACGTGTTTAGAAAACCAAAGAACGAGGAATGACCACCTGGCGTAAACTTAACGCCAAACCATACCGACAAGGGCATTATTCCGTGATGTATTACATGCAGCGTTGAGATGTGGTTATTCTTCTTGCGCAAAACGAAGAAAATCTACGAGAACATGCAGTACGAGGTTTAAATGACTTCCTATCACTTACTGTGTCAAAAAATTCGGTGAATTTGGA